AGGGAGCAGTGCTGTCATGAAAGCCAAAGAAAGACTGCTAAAAAGGGTCTCCAGGGACAAGAGTTCAGGTTCACTTAGGATGAACCTTTTCTACTGGGATCCCGGCGAGTGCTGAGACTATGGAATGGGAGCTGGGGCTGTCCCAGAGCTCTGCACAGAGAGGGGCTGAAGAGTGAGAACAGTCAGGGTGCCCTATCATATTAACTTACTTTTGTAAAAACAATAATTTTATATAAACTTTTAACATTTATTTTTAACAAAATTATAAACTTTTGCAAAATTCAAATAATTCTACCAGGCATTTCATGAAAAACAGTGACCCTTGCTCCTTCCCACCCACCCCCCACCCCCCCACCCCCTTCTGGCCCTTCTCAACTATTCTTTTTGCACTTATCTTCATGCTTATTGTTACCAGGTTTATATTGCTGTTCCCTGATTAATTCCTACTATAAGGGATGAGAATGTACTCTTTTAAACCACTCACACACCATTCTTATCCTCCCCATCATCTCTGAGTAGTTATAGAGCTGTCAGATCAATGATTATTGTTTACCTTATGATGACTATGTAACTGTTATTTATACTTTAAACTCTATTTCCCATCCTGAAACATTTTCATGTTTCTTGTAGTGAAAGGGGGCCTAGTTTGCTGGCTTACTTTCTGGGTGTTGCTATTGTTAGGTGCTATTGAACTAAATTTCAACTCACAGTGACCCCACATGTCAGAGAACTGCCTACAGGATTTCATTGGGCCTTTCTCCTGAGAAACTTCTGGGTAGTTGCAAGCTGCTGAATTGATTGAAACTGCCAAGCTTTTGGTTGGCAGCCAAGTGCTTTACCATTGTGCAACCAGTGCTTCTTAGTTTTTTCATGTACTTATTGTTAACATGGAGCCCTGGTGGGGAAGTGGCTACGAGCTAAACTGCTAACCAAAAGCTCAGCAGTTCAAAACCACCAGCTGCTCTCTGGGAGAAAGGCGAGGCTTTCTACTCCCCTGAAAAGTTAGTCATGGAAACCCACAAGGGCCAGTTCTATCCTATAAAGTCAGGATGAGTCAATGGCAGAGTTTGGTTGATTTGGTACATTAACTTATCTCCAAACTCTCAGCCACAAATCAGTCCAACTTCAATCCCTTCAGACACAGCAGGAAACACCCTGGGATCTCTTCTGCTGAGAAACATTCCTCCTGGAGTCACCACAGTCCTCTCCAACCCACAATGGCTGCTCCTTCTGGGGTTGTTGTCTGCCTGACTCACTACAACACCCCAGATCCTTCCCTCTTCCTATGCAGACCCCCCACGTTTCCAGCATTTTTTAGCATTAGGGAAATCAGAACATACTGCTCCAGAAATAAACATTAGCACTACTATCCTTGGTTAACTTAAGATTCCTCCCTCTGCTGAACCTGATACCTGTAGGCTCATGTACCCTGAGAGGAATATGGGGTCTCCAACAGGGTGGAAAAGGATATCAGGCTAGGAGCCTGCTTTATCAATCAAATTCTTACTTCAGTCCCATCTTTGTGAACCTCCCACCATTTTACCAGGTATCTGGTATTGCCATTTCAGAGACTTTGAGGGGCATTTCTGTGCATCTTCCCAACTTCCAAGCCTCCATCATCTCCAAAACTCGGGGGTTTTGCCTTTTAAAATTATCTTACATCATTTTAGTGGTCTTTTAAGAGAAACGCAGATCACTGTGCATTCAATTTGCCATTTTAGCTAGAAAACAAAGGAGGTTTTGTTTTGGTTCGGTTTGGTTTTGTTTTTAAGATCGGAGCTATTATATCATCTTGGATGCTGACAAAAAGGAAAAGAGGCCTAGGAGAAGGGGACAAAACGGAGGAATTTGCTCTGTAGGCTGAGCAGGTCAACTACTTCCTCACAGGAGCAGGAAGGCCCAATTACAAGGTAGCCCTGCAGATCTCAAAGAGAATAAAAATATTCAACAAAGCTTTCCTAATTATGCCTTCTTAATCTCTTGATTTTAATGTAGTCAAAGAAAACCAGCCCTGAGCTGGGACCAGTATGGAGGCTTTGCCCCAACCAGCTGTGTGAGGTGCCAATTTTCATCTGTCAGATGCAGCGGGCCACTGGAGTCCAAGCATTTCTGAGAGCACTGTCTCCTAGGAACCAAAAGAAGCCTGTCAAGGCTCACTCTGGAAGATGGCAACTCTTCTCACTCTTATTAAGTGAGAAAAGTGCTAGGAGACCTGGGAGTAGAACTCCAAGTCCTCCAAAACCTCACTCCCTGGGGGAACATCACTGCAGATGAGTTTGTTCTGGCTCGTCACACCCCCAAGACACTGCAGGACTGGAAGTCGACTACTCAAAGCAAAACTATTTCCGTTTCCCCCAGCTCAGTGCTCTTAACAGCTCCCTCCCCACAGCAGGCAAGGCCACAGGCGCCTTATTAAAAGCCCTGCCTTTATTTAACTACAGTCTTGCCTCTGGGAATTTCCAGAAGCTTCAGCCCTCCAGAATGGCTCTCCAATGTGGATTTCTCCCAGCTGGGTTGGTTCTGCCTGTGACCTGGCTGCCCAGTTGTCTCCAGTTGAGAAAACCTGGTCAGGGCCTTCCTGGTCTGATTTCCAGTTACAGGGCAGATCTGAACTCCAGTTTCAAAGGAGATTTGTGAAATACTCTCATTGGGGAAGAAAAGCTATGACACATTAAGGACTGTGTGTATGTCTGAGGTCTAAGGATCCTTCCCTCAAGATTTCTGTGAAAATTAGACTGAGGTCTGCATAATTACAGTTGGTCTCAAGCCAAACAGGGATTTGGATGGCCTCCAAAAAGTAGCTGTACAATAGCTTCGGTTGGAAAAGACCAATCAAGAGGGAAAGAAGACAAAGGGCCCCCTCATGCTCACACTTACCCCCATGGGCACCTTCCAAATTGTCAGAGCCTGCTGGCCTCCCATTTGCACAGAGCATGGTGCCGTGCAGTGCCCATAGTCTTCCACACTTCCATCCATCTCCCATCCTACCCCTCTGGCCTCTCTCTTACCCTGCTCCAATTACACTGGCAGCCTCAATGCTCCCTGAATACACTGGGCACATCTGCTCCAAGTATCTGTCTTCAGCTGTCCACTCTTTCATCCAACACCCACAATGCACACTACTGCTGCCTTCCAGGACCTGCTCTGCTCTTCAACACCTCTTTTCAGGGATGTCAACGCTGAGCACCCTATTAAAACTGTACCCAGAATCCTAAGCCTTTTGCTCTTCTTTACTCTAGACTTCATGCTTCCTTATTCCATAGAAATTATCACTATCTGACTTTAATGATGTGTGCTTTTATTACATTACATGCACATGCATGCATGACACATGCGTGTGCATGCCCCACACCACCCACACACAAATGCAGGCAGGCAAAAAACAGACTCCAATCTGTTCTCTGCTGTGCCTGCAGTGCCTGGAAAAGGGCCTAGCCCTTACAGGCTCTCAGCACTAGGCACAGAATGAATGAAACTGCACATAAGATCTGGATTCAAGCAACCTATTAATAAGCATTCCTCTTCAAATGTTATCAAGATTCAGGTTATCCACAGACCTACGTATCTATGTGCACCTGCTCCCTGACTCCTCGTCTACCATCTGGACATCAGCTAGCCTCAGGACTCCATAGTGACCACAAAGGAGTTCCACTGAGCACACTAGGAAAGCCAGGTACTAGGAGTTCCTAGAATCCACGCCATACAAAGCAAGCATCTCCCTTCTCCCCCTATTAGTTATGAAGACAGATGTGGGACTCAGGAGCTCAGAAGGCTTGGGCCCAAGTCCTGGTCTCTTCACTTAAAAGTGATGTGACTTTAGGAAGTCAGATCTACCTCACAAGAGTGTTGTGAGGGCCAAACAAGTGACCATGTTAAGTACTCAAAACAGAAGGGCTCGCACAAGTCAAACTTCATGAGCATGAGCTGCTATTATGACATTACTATCTCATATGAGACTGTAGGGTGATTTCCCATTTCTTCCCCATGGTCTTAGGGAATGGAGCGGGTGACAACCCTATCCGAACCGGCCTAATGGGTATAAAGCGTGGGACTTCACCCTTAGTTAAAAGTTCTTATGGGAGCTGTATGAACTTTTGGATTTAGAAAAATGACTTTGCTTCTTGGATCTGCTAAGATGTTTTGGAGCAAACTATTTTGCTTAATCTTGACTTGCAAGGACGTGGCTGCAAAGTGCAAATGTTTTTGTCTGGACTTGGTTGTTTTCCCAGAAGGAGCAAAGAAATGGGGTATAAAAGAAAACACAGCTTTTAATAAAGTGCCATTGCATATATTCACGCTTCTGAATGTTTCTTTGGTCCTCCTGAACCCTACTTTTCTATATTCTCCTTTTTCTCAAGACCACTCACCCAACTTCAGCTTTCTGTGAGGAACACGCCGGAGCTGGTCTCCGGCATGAGACTGTTTAAAAACAAGTTCCTGTTAAAAACAATATTCATAAGCTTTAGAAAATGACATCTCGAATCATGTCAAGTTGGTTTTGCAAACCCAGTTCCATGGCTCCAACAGTGTTTCAGACAGATGTGGGCTATCATGGGCATGACTGCACTTGTCCTTACCATGGATGGCCTCAGCCCACTGCAGTGCTGGAGGCACAGGCCACACCACAATGCGCCACGCACAATGTGCAAGCACCACTGGACAATGGCGCAAAAGCAGGCATCTCTCAAAACCCTCAGAGCCACTGCTGGACTCTTGGTCACATCGATTACTGAGAAGTAAAGTTAACAGAAAAGGAGTCAATCTGCCACTTATAAGTCTAGGTTCCACCGAGGCCAAACTAGAAGACATGCTCAACATGACACCTTCACTGTACCCTAGTCAACAAGTTACTCAGAGTGACATAAAGCCAGGCCACACCACCCAGCAAGACACATCAGTATAGTCAAGCAAAGCATTAAAACTCAACTGATGTTAGAAAAAAATCATCCCTCAATTTAAAAACATAACTTTATAATAGGATTATAAGAAATAATACTCACAGGGAACCGCATGAAGATCGTCTCCCTTTGTAGAACTCCTGTAAATAAGTTTAAAAATTTTTTTACAATCAGAAATCATAGGTTTAAAAACGCTAAAAAACAGAAGCCATGATAATCATCTTATTTATCAAATTTTACCAAACCAAGTTATTAAAAGACTATATTGTAAATATGAAGTATAAGTCGAGGCACCTAATTTTACCACCAAATAAACTAGGGGGCTTTTCCAGCATAAAAAGTGTGCTGGGAAAACTCGGCTTATACTCCAGTATATACGGTACTCAAAAGCCAGTTATTTGAAACGTCAAAGGCAATTTCCCAGAGGGAAAAAATATTCATAAGAAGTATAAAATTGTTTTTTAAAAGTATAAAATACTGACGAAAACTTAGAGCAGTAGACTGCTCTAAACCCTAACCCTTAGTCTTAAGCCTGATTGAAGTTTCAGGGCTGTGTTAATTCTTCAGTCCCTATGAAATTGTGGGGAGTGATAAAGAGAAATGGATGAAAATTATGAATCCACAGATTCAAGGTCAACCATCCCCAGGCAAAAATAAAACGTGAAGAAAATTAAACCAAAGTACATCATTATCCAATTACCTAAGAGTAAATCTTATAAACAGCAAGAAGTACATGTATAGAAGGACAAACATAGATATGATGGATAGATTTGTTTATTCTTCTAACATCAATATTCTTTATAAATCTCGGAATTCAAATGCATCAATTCTTCTGTGGCCTCCTTTATTCACTGCCCAACTTTCACATGCATTTAAAGTGACTGAAAAACATCATGCAATATGACATTTTTATTGTCATATGAATTGAACCCCTTGCTGATGAAGAACAAAGATTGCAGCCTTCAGTATGCATTATAGCTCAATGTAAAGATCAGACTCCTCACAACCAGACCATTAGGTAACATCAAAATAAATGGGGGAAGAAAGGTTGAAGTTGTCAAGGATTTTGTCTTACTTAGATCCACAATCAATGCTCATGCAAGCAGCAGTCAAAAGATTCAAAGACCTATTGCATTAGGTAAATCTGCTGCATAAGACCTCTTTAGGGTATTGAAGAGCAAGTTACTTTGACGACTAAGGTACACCTGACCCAGGCCATGGTATTCTTTACTGCATCATATGCATGTGAAAGTTGGACATTGAATAAGGGAGACTGTAGAAGAATCAATGCGTTTGAATTGTGGTGCCAGAGAAGAATACCATGGACTGCTTAAAGAACAAACCTATATGTATTGGAAGAAGTAAGGCCAAAGTTCTCCTTAAAAGCAAGGATGGCAATACTTTGTCTTACATACTTTGGACATATTGTTAATAGAGACCAGTCCCTGGCGAAGGACATCATGTTTAGTAAAGTGGAAGGGTGGCAAAAAAGAGGAAGACTTCAAGGAGATAGGAGGACATCATGGCTGCATCAATGGGCTCAGGCATAGGAACAACTGTGATGACAGACCAGGCAATGTTTCTCTCTGTTGTGCATAAGGTTGCTATGGGTTGGAGCTGAGCTGGTGTTACCTATCAACAACAAGGACAATATGACATTTGATTTCTTCAGTGTTTCTTCTGTGGATGTTGATTGGGAATCCAAGTAAAATGAAATCCTTTACAACTTCAATCATTTTCCTCTTTATCATGATGTTATCAGTTCAGTTGTGAGGAACAGCTTTCTTTACATTGAGTTATAATCCATACTGAAGGTCTTAGTCTTTGATCTTCATCAGTAAGTGCTTCAAGTTCTCTATGCTTCAGCCAGCAAGGCTGTGTCAGCATATCACAAATTGTTATAAGAATTCCTCCAATCCTGATGCCACATTCTCCTTCATACAGACCAACTTCTCAGATTATCTGCTCAGCATACAGAAAGAGTATGGTGAAAGAACATAACCTAACACACAAACTCCTTGTTTTAAAAATATTTAGTATCCTCTTGTTCTGTTCAAATGGCTGCCTCTTGATATAGCCACAGGTTCAACATAAGTGAAAATAAATGTTCCAGAATTCCTATTCTTCCCAATATTATCCATAGTTTGTTATGATCCACATAGTCAAATACTTTTATAGAGTCAATGAAACACAAATAACATCTTTCTAGTAGTCTCTGCTTTCAGTCAAGAGTCATCTGACATCAGCAAATATATTCCTGGTTCCACATCTTTTCCTGAATTCAGCATGAACTTCCTTCAGCTCTTTGTGGATGTACCATGCTTCAACTATCTTCAAAAAATTTTACTTGCATATGATATTCAATAATTAACACATTCTGTTACCTCACCATTCTTTGGAATGGGCACATATATAGCTATCTTCCAGTCAGCTGAGCGGGTGGCTGTCTTTCAGATTTCTCAGCATAGACAAGCAAGTGCTTCAAAGTTACATCAATTTGTTGGAATATTTCATTTGGTATCCCATCAATTTTTGGAGTTTTGTTTATCCCCAATGTCTTCAGTGCAACTTGGACTTATTCCTAAATACTATCGCTTCTTGATTATATGCTATTTCTTGAAATGGATGAATATCAAAAAATAATTTTTGTTATGGTAACTGTGTATTACTTCCATTTTTTTTATGCTTACTGAGTCATTGAATATTTTGCCCATCCCCACTGCCACTATGTCTATTCTGACCCATAATAACACTATTACAGTTCCTGAGGCTGTAAATCTTTAAAGGAACGGAAAGCCTCAATGTTTTCGCATGAAGTACCAGGTGGGTTAAACTGCTACAGTTAGCAGTCCAACACTTACCTGACAGTGCCTTCAATATTGCAACACAAGGTTTGAATTTTTTATTCAGCTCTTTCAACTTGATGCTGAGCATCTTCTTCCACTTGGGTTTTCTAACTCCAGGTTTTAGTTTATTTCATTAAAATACTGTCTTCTTGAGCTGCCCTTTGAAATCTTCCGTTCAACTCTTTTACTTCATCATTTCTTCCACTCCTGTTAGCTATTCAATGCTCAAGAGCAAGTTTCATAGTTTCTTTTCACATACATTTGGTCTTTTCATTATTGTCTATCCTTTTAATGACTTTTGCTTTATTTTTTTATATAAATCATTTTATTGGGGGCTCTTACAGCTCTTATAACAATCCATACATCAACTGTATCAAGCACATTTGTACATATGTTGCCATCATCATTTTCAGAACATTTTTTTCCTACTTTGAGCCCTTGGTATCAGCTTCTCTTTATTTTCCCTTCCAATTGCCACTTGTTCACCCTTGTGACCTTGATAAATTATAAATTATTATTTTCATATCTTACACCATCCGCTGTCTCCCTTCACCCACATTTCTGTTGTTTGTCTCCCTCAGTGAGGAGGGATTATATTTCGATCAGTTCCCCCATCTCCCCACACAGTCTCCCTACCCTCATGGTATCACTACTCCCATTATTGTTCCTGAGGGGTTTATCTGTCCTGGATTTCATGTGTCGAAAACTCTTCTTATCTATACCAGTGTACAATCTCCAGTCTAACCAAATTTGTAAGGTAGGGGTCATGCTAGTGGGGGGAGGTAAAAGCTCTGGGGGGGTGGGGGGTGGGGGGTGGGGGGCGAAACATGTTTCATCAGTGCTATACTGCACCTTGACTGGTTCGTTCCTTCCTTTGTACCCTTCTGTGAGAGGATGTCCAATTGTCTACACATGGGCTTTGGGTCTCCACTCTGACCCCCCTAATTTGTATTGATATAATTGTTTGTTTTAGGTCTTCTGATGCCTGAAATCTACCTGATCCTGTTGACATTGTGATCACACAGGCTGGTGTGATTCTTCCATGTGGGTTTTGTTGCCTCTGAGCTAGATGGCTGCTTGTTTAACTTCAAGTCTTTAAGACCCAGACATGATATCTTTTGATAGCTAGGCACCATCAGCTTTCTTCACCACATTTGCTTATGCACCCATTTTGTCTTCAGTGATCATGTCTGGAAAGTGAGCATCACAGAATGCTAGGTTATTAGAACAAAGTGTTCTTGTGTTGAGGGAGGATTTGAGTAGAGGCCCAATGTCCATCTGATACCTTGATACTTAACACTGAAATATATGTACATAGACCTATATCTCTATCGTTATAAATAAATATACTTACATATGTACATGACTGTATTTATACCTCTATACATTTCCTTTACCTCCCACTTCTTTCTTCTATTTCCTCCTTGTCCAACTATCATGTTCAACCTCCATTCAGCTCTCAGTAATTTCTCTTGGCTACATTGAACTTGATCTGCACCCTCTTCATCATCAATTTTAGATCTTTTGTTGTTCCCTTGTCCCTGGATTTGTTGGCTTCCCCTTCCCTGTCTCCCCCTCCCCCTCAGTCCAGTCCCCCTTAATTGGTCCCATTGTTTTATCCTTGGGATTGTTTATCTTGCCAATCTTATATAGGCATGAAAAAGGGGAGGGGGGTAGGAGGCCTATAAATAGTTCCAGGTCTGTCTGCTGACCCTTATGTATGTTTCCCAACTGAGTCTGATAAGGTGCCAACCCTGCCGTCTGAGTCTGAAGTCTATTTTCAGATTCCTTGGGGACTTCATTGCTTTGCTCCCTTTGCTGCTCTTTTACACTCCCTTTGTGTTTCTTCCCGGGGGGGCGGGGGGTGTCAGACAGGGTGATTTTTACTTTCTTTATGCATGATGTTCTTGATGTCATCCCACAACTAATCTGGTCGTCAGTCATTAGTATTCAATACATTAAATCTGTTCTTCAGATAGTCTATTAATTTAAGTGGGATATATTCTAGGTTGTATTTTGACTCTCAGGGACTTGTTTTCATATTCTTCAACTTCAACCAGATTTGTATATGAGCAATTGATGGTCTGTTTCACAGTCAGCCCCTGGCCTGATTTTAGCTGCTGGTGTTAAACTTTTCCTCCTCTCTTTCCACAAAACATACAATTTGATTTCTGTGTATTCTATCTGACAAGGTCTATGTATATAGTTGCTATTTACGTTGCTGAGAAAAAGGTATTTGTGATGAAGAAGTCACTGGTATAGTAAAATTCTATCATGCTATCTCCAGCATTATT